AAACAGTTGAGGTCCGAAGGGAGGGGAAAGGAAATAAGGAAGTCAGGAGCTGGAGAGTTCCTTAATAGTAGATGAGTTTAAGCCTTCATTGCCTCTCCTTTTGTTCCCCCTTTTCCCACCTTAGAACTACCTTTTCTCCCTCTGCTGTTTCCCCATATTGTTTGGGGTTTAGGTTTGGAGAACAAGTGCCTGGGACAACACTGACTGTCTCGGACAATCAGAGCCAATTTCTCTGTTCATGGCTCTTACTGAGAATAAGCAAGTATGTCTCAGAACAAGAAAAAAAAAAAAGCCAGAACCTAGACATATGATTAAACCTAGTACATGCTAAGTTATTGATCTGTTAATTTGTGATCATACTGCCTCCTGGACGTTGATGTTACACTTTTCACCTCAGTGTCCATTTTGTTTGAAATCCAGTGAAGTGGAATTAAACAGCAATATGTCATTTAAATACTTTTTACTCTGGCAAATGATATCCTTGTAATTAACTCAAAAACAAAAATCAAAACAAATAACAACAACAACAACAAAAACTGTCTTTGAAGTTAGAAGCCTGAGGATAAGGCCCAGTGTTGTCTCTGTGTGACAGATCAGGTACTTAATCTCTCTAAGCATGACTCTTCTGTTTCTCTGAAAGATAGGGGTGATTTTTTATTTATTTAGTTGTCAATGGACCTTTACTTTATTTACTGAGTTATTTATATGTGGTACTGACAATCGAACCCAGTGCCTCATTCGCGGTAGGCAAGTGCTCTACACTAAGCTACGACCCCAGCCCAGGGATGATCTTTACTTGCTTCACAGAAAGCTGTTCTTTCATTGTCTCATTGGTGCAACAGCCTGGGTGATGAGGAGCACACTCAGTCTCTTCTAACCCTGTAATCATCATCATCTGAGCCTGAGCTTTTCAAATCAATAAATCTAAAAATCCTCAAATATTTCTCCAGCATAGATAAATAACCCAACTCCATAGAAAAGCACACTTAACCAGTCTGTCTGGCATGTCATAGTCCAAAGATAATTTTAATATGGAATATATACTACTTGCTGTATTTAGATTTTGGAATTTGGGGGTTTTTTGTTTTTTGCATGCCCTTCTAATTTTTTTTTCTTTTGAACAAAATAACAAATAAAAATTGCATATTTTTTGCCTCCAAACCCATGTACCAGAATCGACCATTATTAGCAGTGTGCTCTATATTTTCAGCTCTCGATCGAATTCACCTTGCTCTGCTGAATATATATATAGCTAGCCTCCTCCGTCCTTGGGCCATAATTGCTTAACTTGAAATTGCAAGGCACAAATTCATGCTGTCAGGTATGCTAGGAACACATTCAAATTTGGACTGCTCTTTCACCCTTCTCTAGCTGGAGTTGTTTTTCTTTTTTTCTTTTTAACTTGCCTTGAGCCCTTCTTTCTTTCTGTCTTTGAAAGGATATTACTGCCTGCATTTGTTATCTTTCTCCATTTAGCTGAACTCCTGGCAATCTATGTCCACTCTATGCTTCTGTGCTCCTGGAGAGATTTTTAAGCCACTTGTGAGCAAGTGTTGAGCTGGTGGCTGCTTCCTTCAAAAAGCAATTTCTTTTCCCTGCTTGGGTATCTTGTTCATTATTCTTTCTTTCCTCTTATACTGTCCTCCCCTCCCCCAGAAATCCATCTCTTTTGTGTCTCTACCCTCTCCTCGAGACCTCTCCCACTCCCTTCTTCTCTTTCAGGTCCCATGTAACTTCCCAGGGTCATTGAATCAACAGTTAGAACAGCAACGTTTTGATTCCTTTTCATTCACTGCCTTAGAATCTGACTCCTGTGGGCGCATTTCCTTCCATTGTGGACATACTTTTAGGCCACTCAAGTCCACCTGCTCAAAATGATCTCTCATCAAGCAATTTTCCAGACTGTAAAACACACTCAATTTCCAATCTCTCCTATTTTACATCTGTTTGTCTCTAACAGCAGCTGGAAGCCTCCTCCCCAAATGGAAAGTTCTGGTAAAAAGTTTATGGCTCACCTTGAAAAAAAAGAGAGAATTACATCTGCAGAGACTGATAGTCTCTGGAGGGCAAGGCAGGATCATTATGAGATTTTGGAGTAGGGTGGCCAATGGTTCCAGTTTGTCCAGGACAGAGGACTTTCAGTTTTAAAATTAGTTCAAAATTTAAAGATTGGCTTAAGGAGAGTCTTTCCATGCAGAGTCTTGGTTAGGGAAATGGTGATTTAATAATTTAGGACTAGTCGGGACACAGCAAGGTGAGGATTTTGAAGTAGGGGGTTCCCAGAGTCTTGGGAAGCAAATGGTTGATTCTTTTGGTTGAAACACTGATGAGTCTTTCTTTTAAGAAGTTCCTATATTGAACAGTAAAGTTATGATAATTAAGAAAATGAGCCAGTAAGGTTATATTACTATAGACAGTAAGCTATGTGTATAGGGAGGAGGGGGAGTAGATGTTTTCTTTTCTCAGAGTTAATTTCATCTTCTTTCCCAAGGTCAGTTTCATATCCAATGTCCTTAGTTGAAATACCTAACCTAGCAGGGTATTTAATTTTTTTTTTTGCTAGAACATTACAGCACTTTTATGACAAGACTTGTGTGTTCTAGCTTTTATTATACTTGTGAAAATAATGAGAAGACCATTATTTACAGAAGACTTAACCTGTAGGAAAACTACGTAGCCAACCTTATACAGATATTATTTAATCCTCATAAGAGCTCTTTGAAGAAGGAGGTGTTGCTATTATGTTATTATCCTTTACTTTAAAAATTTTTGAGGGAGGGGGATACTGGAAATTGAACTCAGGGGCTCTTTACCGCTGAGTTACATCCTCAGTTCTTTTCACTTTTTATTTTGAGAGAGTGGGTTGCTAAATTGGTGAGGTTGGCCTTGAACTTGTGATCCTCCTGCCTTAGATTCTCGAGTCACTGGGATTATAGGCATGCACCACAGTGCCCTGCTTATCAACCCTGTTTTATAGAGGAAACAGGCTAAAAGAAGGCAAGAACCTTGTCCAAATTCATGCAGTCAGAAGTGACAAAGCCAAGTTTCTAGCTCAGATCCATTTGACCCATTTGACTCAGTAAAAGGGGGATACTTCAGGTATTTGTTACAACGTGGATGAACCTCATAGACATCATCTAAATGAAAAAAGGAAAACAGAAAAGACTACCTATGAGATGATTCTATATATAGGAAATGTCCAGATAAAGCAAATTGAGAGAGAGAGAAAACAGCTAGTGGTTTCTAGGCATGAGGGAGGGAATGCAAATGGTTAGTTTTGTCATTGAAAGAAATGTTTTACTGGATTGTGGTGATGGTTACACAATTCTGTAAATTAATTAAAAATTATTAAACTGTGTACCTACAGTGCATGAATGTTATGGAAAAGTTTTTCTTCAATAAAACTGCTTTTAAAATGGCACAGGTCAGATTCTATGTTTTCTGATTGGTACCCTCAATGACTAGATATAGGTCTCTTTAGGAACCAAGCCCCAGGATTGAAGTGGAGAAAATGTTACATGCATTTGTGGACATATCATGAATATATCAGAATGAACCCCACTATTATGTATAACTATAATGCACTAATACATTTTTTTAAAAAAAGAATCAAGCCCCAAGAGCCAACCCAAAAGGAGAAAGGCTACAGGTTTTACTGAATTTTTATGTATTTTCCTATAAGCATAGAAAGTATCTTTAAGCTCTTTTAACCAGTCCACATATGTTGAATATGTTTAATTTTACTAGTGACAACCCATTTCTAACTTATTGGTTAGTGAGTTGCTTATTTCATTGATGCTGTGTTCTTGATCAGCACATATGTATGTATATACACATATGTATAAATCTAAGCATGTAAATTACAGACACATAAAACAGCACAACATACATCCTGGAGAGTCTTAAAATACTCACATCACAAAATAAACCCAAGTGAACTGCTTAGGCTCACTGCGTACCTTACGTCTGACATACCAGTCCACAGAACCTGACTGCCCTTGTTACAGGGCTCCATCCATCGTGAAATTCACGCGGCCTCTCCCTTTAGTGTTCATCACCTTGGCCAGGATTCTGGCTACTGTTAATCAGATAGATGTTTGTCCTCAGCTTCTCACCAAACCATTGGAGAGGTTTTTCTTTTCTATCTAAATATATATTTTGTAAAAAAAATCCCTCTGTAGTAGTCAGAGTTCTCTAGAGGAACAGAATCAACAGGAAGTATGATTATAAAAAGGGGACTTATCAGGCTGGCTTACGTGACCAGAAGCTGGATAGTCCACAATGGCCATCGGCAGGCTGGAGAGCTGGAGGAAACAGTAGCTGCGGAATCCAAGAGGTTGAAGCCTCAGAACAAGAAGGATTAAAGGTGCTACAGTAGTCGGAAACTGAAGGCTTCTGGGAATCACTGGCAGAGTCCACTTTGGAAGAGTGAAGAAGAGAGAGTCAGATATCCTCAGCCGATCACAGCAGCAATCAAGAACCCATTCAAGAAGAATCAAGCTTGTATTTGCTGCTGCTTCCTTGTTCTTGCAACTTTTATTTCATCCAAGCCACCATCCTATTGGATGGTGCTGCCCCTGCTTAGGGAGGGTCTCTGCTTTGGTTTGCTATCATACATGTCAATCATTCCTAGACACACCCTCACTTACACACCCAGAAGCCTCTTAATCATCAGCATCTCTTAATCCAATGAAGTTGACAATTCAAGTTAACCACTTACACCCTCAGATACTACAATTGAGAGAAAGGTAGTCCATAAGTGCAAACAGATGGAGATCAAGCCCATGAAGCAAAAGGACTAAACAGCCTTTGTGTCCCTGTGAGAGCCTGGAGTAGAGTGATGGTGATGGGACTAATTTCTGAGATCAATAGTCCTTGAACCACCAAATAGATGCATATTCTTCTTATGGACATTTGTTAAAGCTGATTTATGTTGTTTTCTCTTTGGTAAAAGCAGAAGTAAATGTATACGGTGACTGTTTTCCTTGTAACTTTTACAGAGAAATTCGAAACACCAGAAGCTTAACTTTCATAGACCCTGATGCCCTGAGAGAGCTCCCCCTCCTCAAGTTCCTGTAAGTCCTAACTCCCTTCTTTTCACTTTTTTTTTTTTTTTTTTAGAATTTTAATGCTATTGTCTTCCGGTAATCTCCCTAGGATTTTATACTATGAGGTCATTTTCATAATGTATGGTTTGGGTTGAATTGTTTCTTGTGACTTTCTTCCCACCCCTTCTCATTAGGCAAGGTCTCAGGTGAAATGATTCACATGTTTAAAACCCACTGGAAGAATCAGTGCATAGTTCTGGGACCAGAGACCTGATCCAAGAGATGTGAGGGAGTGAATGCTGTTACATATATGTAACCTTTACATATAGTATCACAGGGCAAAACAAATTCCTGAGAGAAAAATGGTCAATTTTGTTTACAAAAGGATATTGAAACAATATTAAACTGGCTGCTACATAGAACACACACACAAAGTCACAGAGGATAAAATTTAGTCTCTTGAGGTTAGGGGACAAAAATGAAATGGAAAGGAACAACCACTTACTGCTTTGCTTTGACAATCCATTCTGAGCTGACTGTAAGCTCCATGAGGGCAGAGACCACAACATTTTTGTTCTCAGTTGTATCCTTATTGCCTAGCACAGAGTAGGTGCTCAATAAAAAAAAAATGCATTCAGTGGATTTGTATTCATGAGCTTAGGCCCTCTAGAAACTGGCTAGAAGAAGCTTCTTTCCTGCTTATATGCATTATAAAAATTAGAAAAATCTCTAAAAGGGACTAAACCCTAAGCCCAGATATACACACTATTACCATTTCAGTTCATTTCCATCCAGGCTTTTGAAATTAAAGTGTACACCCACAGATATTTTATGAGAGAAATCTTTAAGGATGAATAGAAGTTATCCAGGAAAAGAAGGAAGAGTAGATGATGTAGCAGCATGATAAAGGCACAGAGTCCTCCTTTTAAAGGAGGACTTGTTCAGGGTTTTGGAGAAAAGTCAGAAGTTTCTTTAATCTGGCATTTCCAGCCCTCTGCTTTGTGGCCTCCATCTGACTCTTTGGCCATTCCCCACCCCATTCTTTTACATGAACCCCCATTGCAATTGAGCTAGTTGGTTTACTGTACTTCAAATACACCTCATCACCTCATGGGATATCATTTTTCTTCTTTGGAATCTTCCATTTGCTCATTTTGAGTTCTCTGGTTCCTGCCACCTCTTCAAATTCTATGCCTTCCACTAGAGAAGGAGTTGAGTCTGAATTTCCTTTTCAAGGTGCATCAGTGAGGGCTGGGGTTGTGGCTCAGTGGTAGAGTGCTCACCTAGCATGCATGAGGCACTGAGTTCGATCCTCAGCACCACATAAAATAAAGATATTGTGTCCACCTAAAGCTTTAAAAATAAATAAATATTAAAACAAAAAAAAGGTGCATCAGTGAAACTAGTTGTTTGGTTTTCTACCAGACCTTCTATAAAGATCTACTGGGTAGTGTCTAGGACTCTGGGACTCACCACATGCCCCAAATCTCACAAAAAACATTTCTACTTCCACTAATTACATTCTAGTAACTGCAATAAACCTTAAACCAACTAAGTCTGGGTGGCATCAGGAACCTGAGAGCTTTCGTGCTCATGTTGTTTTAAGCACGTCTTTTAATCCTGACATTTTTTCCTAGGTGACACAAACTTTGGAAGGGGAAGACATTGTCTTCGAAAATTTCCTTTATTTTCTGGACATTTTAAAAACAGTTCTAGTGCAAATGTACTCCCAGGTTATTGCTGTAGGAAAATCATTCTTTTTTAAATATATTTTTTAGTTGTAGATGGATACAATCTTTATTTTTATTTATTAATTTTTATGTGGTGCTGAGGATCGAACCCAGGACCTCACACATACAAGGCAAAGGCTCTACCACTGAGCTACAACCGCAGCCCAGGAAAATCATTCTTAGCAAAATAATAATGCAATAAAACATCGAATTTGAAAGAGGAAGACTGACTTGGTGTTGGGTAATCCTGTGTTCCTCTTCTATCTTACTCTTATCCCCCATAATATACATACACATAATATCTTCCAATCAAAATAAGGAGCTCTCTCTCTCTCTCTCTCTCTCTCTCTCTCTCTCTCTCTCTCTCTCTCTCTCTCTCTCTCCACACACACACACACACAGAGGAAAGAAACCTAAATTTCTATTTCTAGGAATCCCACTGGGTCCAAACAATGCCTGGAGTATTCTAAGCAGAATAGATATATTGACACTGATTAGATTACTGTGTCTTGAGCAAATATCATCTCGTGGCTAGAACTTACCAATAATCACTCAGATAGTAAGCAGAAGAGTTAAGATTTGGCTACAAACTGACATTATTCTACTTCTGTGTTAATTTTTTTGAAACCTAAAATCTTTTTCTTCTTTCATGTAATTTAGTGGCATTTTCAACACCGGACTTAGAATATTCCCTGACCTGACCAAAGTTCATTCCACCGATGTATTCTTTATACTGTAAGTATATACAACATGATGTGTCATATTTTTATCATTGTCAAGAACTAGGGTGCAGCCATGGGGGGGTTCAAACCCAAGTGAAGTAATTGTGTCAAGGAGGAAACGGGGATCAATTGTGACTACACTGGTAGAAGCAGCATGGAAGGATTGAAAAACGGCCATGGGGTTCAGTGATGTGGGTCAGCAGTGACTCTGACATGAATAGTTCTTGTGAAGTGACGGGAGCAGGAAAGTCAGTGGGAGCTTCTTCTGGGCCAACGTACAAGAGAGGATGTGAGGGGTTGAATTAGAGTGATGATCACAAACTCTTGAGAACTTTTATTATTAAAGGGAACATAGATGTCCCACTAGTTGAACCATATTGGTTGAAGAGATTTTATTTGAGACGTGAGAGAAATATTATAGAATGTTTGCCAATGGGAATGATTGAATAGAAGGAAAAATTAATGATCACAATGATACTTTATTTTTCATAGTGTTTTAAACAGGTTTTCAAACACTTTCCCATGCATTACATTTGCTTCGCTCAACCACCTGATACGGCATAAAATGAAGTTATGATTTTTCTATTTGACAAATGAAGAAACAGAGGAAGAAAAAACATAAGTGATTTTTGCCTGACTTGCTCCCATGGAGCAGTCAGAAATGACGCTCAGACTACTTGTGTTCTTTTCCAAAACCTGTAACATATCATCTTACCTAATTGTATAGAAGTAAAAAGACACATGCAGAGGGAATTACACAAGTTGAGTTTGACTACAGAATCAGCAAGATGTGGAGTGATAAGATCCAAACTCTTGGGGTTTTCTAGAAAAAAAAATTGGCCATACTTCTTTGCTGCAGAAAAGCTCAGCTATCTTCTAGAAACTAGACAAGTGTAGAAAGTTTTTCCAGAATATCTGCCTGGCAGAGCTTTTCAAATAAGAGGACATTTTAGCAATAGTCATGAAACAAAATCCATGGATTCCTTTCTCCCATGGAAAATTCTAGTGGCTCTGGACAAATGCTGCAAGTTCAGGAGAGGTTTGTGAAATCCATTTGCTTCCTTTGAGATAAGTAAATTGGGGACCTCAGCTCTTACCAAAGCTTGCTTGCTCACTACACACCCAGGGTTCTGAATTCATGTCCTTCTCAGACAGCTCTTAACCACCTGATCTCTGAGCCACCAGTGGTTGAAAAGGGTCAATAAAACTTAACAGTAGGCGTTTGGGTTGTGGCTTAGTGCTAGAGCACTTGCCTAGCATGTATGAGGCACTGTGTTCGATTCTCAGCACCACATATAAATAAATAAAATAAAGACCCATCAACATCTAAAATGTTTAAAAAAAAAAAAAAAACAGTAAATAAGACTAAGCTGTGAGCTTATTTAATCTGCATATGTATAACAAAAGTCCATTTCCAGGAAGAAAGCATTTTTTTTTTCAAGTGTTCTTGTCCCTCTCTTTCAGTGAAATTATGGACAACCCTTATATGACTTCAATCCCTGTAAATGCATTTCAGGGACTGTGCAATGAAACCTTAACACTGTGAGTATTGCCAGTTTCACTCTTGCCAACAATTGAATATTGTTCTGGGCCACTGTCATAATTTTATAGACCACCCAGAGCCATAATACCCTGTAATGTTTATATTCTACAAAGAGTTTCATGTAATTAAATAAGCATATTGCCTTGTGCCATGGTACACTGTAGATTATTATTTCCAAACAGGTTTAGAAAATAAAACAAGAGTATTTCCTTATAGCAGTGGTTGGTTTTCTTTGTTTGGTTTTTTTTCTTTCTTTCTTTTTTCTGGGAAGGATCAATTAGGCTTTACAGATTACATGGCCTCAACTCTGCCTGTGTTCCACTAAAATTTTATTTCCAGAAAGAGATAGTGGACTAGATTAAGCCTGCAGTGGCATCGTGTTCTGTATTCAAGTATCCCTATTTGACAGATTTGAATTTGCTGTAGAGAAAATTTAAGTGACTTTCCCTAGGTCACTGAGTATGAGAGTGGTGATAAGCTCTGCAGTCACACTCTTACTCAGTAGTGGCAAACTTATTAAGCTCCCGTAGGTGATGCTATACATCATTCTTTGACCAGAGCTTGAATGGATTCTGCTCTGTAGCTGTTCAAAAGCAGATGCTTAATCTGGGATAGTCACAGAATGGCTCTAAAAGGAGAAGATCTAATAGAGGTATAAAAGATAAGTTAATTCTCTTTGTATTAGCCAGAAAGTAGAGCTGAGACCACCTCTGCAGATCCCTTCTATTTTCAATGCCACTGCCCATGTTCAGGCCTGGTGTGGAGTTTTTGCCCAAATTGTCACCCAATCTCCCTGTTTCTGCTCATGCTACGGTCTCTAGTGCTCTGTCAAATACAAATCAGATTCAAATGCTCCCCATAAAAACTTATCCAAGCCTCCTCACAACTTTCTAAGGGGCTTTTTTCCAAACCATTCAAATTGATCAATTTGGGATCTATGAACTATCTCCACTGTTGGAAACCTGTGCACAACGGAGCCTTTCAGCTAATCCTTCTCCTCACACTCCAGGGAAGAAGACTTTTGAAAAGACAAGATTCCTCTTCAGTTATGATTTCTTTTGACAGAACAGAAAAGACCTGGGCTCTTGTCCTGCTCAGCCCCAAACCTCAACACAGCTTTCCTTCTTTGTGAGGGTTTCCATTGTATGATTTAGGGCCCATCACATCGCGAGTTAAAACTCTATCATTCTCAACTTCTTTACAGAATGTTGTTACTCTCCCTTTTAGACAACTATTTCCTAAGGACCTCATATCCCAAGCAGCCCTCTCAAATGAAAGCTGCTCACTGTCCCCACCCTGCATGAGGCCCATTTTATAAACATCTGAGCAGGGAACTGAATATTTCCTGAATACAGAGGTGGGAATGGCAGGGGTTGTCCATTACCTTTTTGTATGATCATTTCTGCATTGATGCAAAAGTCCTTTCTCCTTTGAAGCCCATTCTCAAAGAACTGTAAAAATGAAAAGAGGCACATCTAACAGTACAGTCTGTGCCTGTATTCCTGATAGGACAGAGTACGGCAAAATTTACAATCCTTTCTTCCTTCCTTCCCTGCTTCCTTCCTTCCTTCCTTCCTTCCTTCCTTCCTTCCTCTTTTCCTTTTTCAAAAATGTCTACTTGTTCATGAAGTTTTATTTAATCTCTGTAATATAATATAAACGAAGAATATTTTTAATGTCCAGAATGTTCAATGAAGTTTGGTGAAGTAAAATGCATAATTTTCACAATTTTGTAAAAGAATTCTAGTTCAGAAAAAAATAAAGTTATTCATTAGTACTTTCTCAGTCTCCGTAACGTGTCCCTGAGGTATATGTTATAGTCTTTGCCCAGTAACTGGAATTAAACTCACTGTGTAATTATTTAAAACAAAATAAACAACAAAACCATGAGATTGTTTCTCAGTTCCCCACAATTATATAAGATAAATACAAATCTTAGGGTGTTCCTTTTAATGTGATCATCTCAAAAGTGTCCCTCATTGTGTTAGGTATAGAATGATTTGATCATCTTAGCAACCTTTTGTTCGGGAATTATCATCTTATTTTTAGAGACATAGAAACTGAGGATGAGACAAGTTGAGAAATTCTCAGGATCACCCGGCTCTTAAGTGACAGAGCCAGATCTAGTTCCACATGTGAAGTCTCCTATGGACTTCTTAATGCATTACCAGAGTTTACATGGGGCAGAGTACCATCATTTTCCAAGTTCCCCTAGGGGTGTCCCTAAGAGTTGCCACCAGCTGTGCCTGATTGTAGTCATGGCTCTCTTCTCTTCAAGCCAACAACCACCAGTAACGCCCACACATCCCAGAGTTCCCAAGACTGGGGCTCCTTCTCCTGCAGAAAGGGTGGGTGGAAAGAATTGTATTTGAGGTCAGGATTCCTGACAGTTCTAAACTACTGTTTTTGGCAAGTCACTTCCATGTCTTAGTAACTTCACTGGGACATGGAGGTGGTAACATTGCATACAGGTCCCCTGTAAATCAATGTATTAATTAATCCATTGTAGAAACATGGCAACGAGTGAAAACATTAAAATTTCCATAGAATGGGTTGGTCTTTATACTTTCTTATAGTTGTCTATGAAGTTCAATTTAATTCAGCCCACAACCATTAAGTGTTTAATCTGTGGTGAGCTCTGAGGGTAAATAGATAAAATACAAATGGGAAATAACATCTTGAATGGAAAAAAAAAGAGAGAGAGAGAGAATCCATGTGTTTAGATGAATGTCTTTCAAAGTGTTTATCTTAAGAAACTGCAGTTAGGCCTCCATTATTGACACTGGGTTAACGATTACCTGAAACTCTGTTTCCTGTGTGTATGTGGACATTTAAAACAAAAATCCTTTTGCAAGCCTTTGTTCTTTGACCTGAATCTGCTTCTAAGAAAAAGCTTATTTACTAGCAGCAGAGTCCGAGAATCAATATTCACACTGGAAAATATTATCTTGTGTCCTAAGGAAGACATAATGTGAAGTTTCTCTGTGAGGTGCATATGTGAGACTGTAACTCTTTATGCACATTTCTGGCACAGAAGAAATGAAGCCCAAACATTCAGAAAAGGTCCATCAAACTTCCCATAAGTTATTAATTTTTCCTCTCTATATTTATTGTAGAAAACTGTACAACAATGGCTTTACTTCAATCCAAGAACACGCTTTCAATGGGACGAAGCTGGATGCTGTGTAAGTCAAGGGTAGCCATGAAAACCCTCCCCCACCTCCACCCTTAGATGGACTAGCCAGTAGGTCACAGTTTGCTGAGGGATAGGTCCTATTGGAACATCCCTCAACCCCAAGTTAGTGTGACCAATACTTGGAAATAATGTTAGGGAATCTGAGAAGAGCCAGTTGAATAGACACTTAATATTGGCTAGAATTCTAAATCCCAAGAGATTTATCCTCAATAAAATGGAGGAACATGATGTCACCTTGTTACTCTGCAGGGGTGTGTGTGTGTGTATGTGTGTGTGTACACGTACATGCAGGTAATATTCATCTCCTAGGCTCATGAAAGAAAAGGTGCCTTTAGTGAACCCAAAGTTGTTCAAAAAATGAAATTTCTCACTTAGTCCTATTTGACATGTTTTAGAGAAAGATGTCACTTTCTGTTTGATTCACTCAGAAATAACTGAAAACACATATCCAACATTTCCTTTTCTAACAAGTTTTAAATAAGGCCCGAAATAGCTGAAACCACAAGCAACAGAACTTGTATTGGATTTATTTTGTAACACTTCTTACTTCTATATCAATCACATATATTTTTTTTCAGTTCCAGATGTTCTGGGTTTTATTTCCAAACTTACCTGCGCATTTTTTATAGTGTTTTGTTACTCACCTTTGTCATTTCCCCTTTAAACAATTTATACATAGTTGTTTTATATTCCAGAAATGATCGTTGCCCAATTTGAAAGAATTTTGATTCTAAATCTGTTGTGTAGTACAGTGTCTTTCAAATCTTACTAGGCATACAAACTTTCTGGGATCTTGTTAAAATACAAATTTCCAATTTAGTAGTTCTGCAGAAGACTGTGGGATTCTGTATTTTTAACAAACTCCCAGGTGATGCTGAGGCTGCCACAGACCATACTTTGAGTATCAAGGTGAGGTAAATAAACTGCACAACCATGCATGGTAACCCTGGATGGAAAAGAATATACTTATAGCTGGGTGTGGTAGCACACACCTGTAATCTCAGTTCCTGGGGATGCTGAGACAGGAGGATCCTAAGTTTGAGGCCAGCCTTGGTAACTTAGTGAGGCCCTCTCTCAAGTTTAAAAATAATAATAATAAAAAAATTTAAAGGGCTGGGGATGTAGCTCAGAGGTACCAAACTCCTGGTTTCAGTTCCCAGTACCACAAAATGAGGAGGGGGGGAGGAGAGGGGAGGAGGGGAGAAGGAAGGGGAGAGGGAGAGGGAGGAGGAGGATGACAAAATGTATGGATTAAGTGATTTGGTTGGTGTTTTGGTGGTTAGGTGGTATGTTCTAGAATGATTCCAGTTTTACAAGATAAATGGTAAAACATTCTGAAGTCATTAAACTTAGGCAAGGCTCTCTGAGTTCTGTTTGAAGGGGAGTCTCATTCTGCCAGGCTTTTGGGTTTCCTATTAGTCTTTATCCGAGGAGGAGTTAGAGGTAATTCTCTTCATGTCTGGCAGGGGGTTGTCATTAGGGTTGACATTAGGTTGTCACTAGGGTCTCACTGAGTTCAGTTGTTTTCAAAATACATAATTATAGGGGATGTTTTAAAAAGACTTGTAGAGTAATATGAATACTTGCATATCAAATTTATTTACAGATTTGGAGAGACCCTCTTTCCATTTTAACTTCATTGTACTAATCTCATGTAATCCTACATTTACTTCTCAACATATTTATTGAACACTTGTGATGTTCCAGGCACTGTGCTGTTCACTGGCAATACAAAGATAAGAGCAAAGTGCTTCCTTCCTCCAGAAGACAGAGCACTCTGTGGGATCCACTCAAGGGCAGCAATAGGATGGACCCAAGTACAATAGGGAGAAATGTACCCAATGCCAAACATGCATCTCAATAATAACCCAATGCTTGTTATCCAAAAACATTGGCCTTCTTGCTTGGCAAAGAGAAAGGAATGATTTTCTCTAAACTTACCCTATGGTTTTCTAATTATTAGCATTTGATTTTAGTATTATACAAAACTCACCAAATATTGTCCTTTTTGATTCAGTTATTCCTTGAAAGCCGTGAACCTTAGGGAAATGGCTTTCCTGATCCAAATTTTTTATGGAGTATTGGGACCTCTTAATTATTAAAATAATTTGTAGATACTAAGGGTTTAAAAATTTCAAAAGACTGACATACTATTCTAGATGCATGGGGCATCAAGAGACCCAGCTATCGCACTCCTTTGTATTTATCCAAAATAACTAAAATCAGTAAACTATACTGATACAGCTACATCAATGTTTATAGCACTGCAATTCACAATAGTCAAGATATGGGACCAGTCCAGTTTCCCACCAATAGATTACTGGATTAAGAAATTGTGATATGTGTATATATATATATATATATATATATATATATATATATATATATACACACACACACACACATACACATACACACACACACACAATGGAATATTACTCAGCCAAAACAAAGAATGAAATTATGGCATTTGCTGGTAAATGGATGAAACTGGAGACTATCATGCTAAGTGAAATAAGCCAATCCCAAAAAACCAAAGGCCAAATGTTCTCTCTGATATGCAATACTAACACACAATAAGTAGGGGGAAGGAAGAATAGAATTTCATTAGATTGGACAAAGGGGAATGAAGCGGGGAGGGGAGGGGGAATAGTAAAGGCAGTAGAATGAGTTAGACATTCCTTTTCTATGTTCATATATGAATGCATGGTCAGTGAAATGCCACATCATGTATAATCACAAGAATGGGATCCTAATTAGAATAAGTTATACCCCATATATGTATAATATGTCAAAATACATGTATATCTAAAAAGAACAAAATTTTTAAAAAGTTGGGGGGGAAAAAGAAATTATGATGTTTGCTGGTAAATGGATAGAACTGGAGAATATCTGGCTAAGTGAAATAAGCCAGTCTCAGAAAATCCAGGGTTGAATGTTTTCTCTCATATGTGGAAGCTAGAGCAAAGTAAATGGAACACAACGTATCATAAGGATAGAGGGAAAATCAGTGGAGAAGATGATGATTGAGGGCTGGGGTTGTGTTGTAACTCAGTGGTAGAGACTTGCCTGGCGCGTGTGAGGCACTGGGCTCAATCAGCACCACATATAAATAAATAAATAAATATATTGTGTCCATCCACAACTAAAAAAAAAAGAAAAAGAAAGAAGAAGATTGAAGAGGAGGGAGAGGGAGGAGGGATGGAAAGAGGAGGAAATATGGAATGAATTTGACAAAATTACGTTATGTGCACATATAAATATACCACAGTGAATTCCACCTTTATGCAAATCTATAAAGCACCAATTAAAAATAAACAAATAAATGAGAAAATAGAGAGCTTAGCATTGAGACAACAGAAAACCCACATTATGAAGGACATGGGTAGTGATACTGATGACACTTTCCACCAGGGAGATCAGAGGCGGGACTGTAGCTTCTGAGGTCACTGCTTTTCCAGAGTGCTGGATGCAAAGGATCCAAAACCTTGAATAGAGGGTGGTTGATTTCTCACACTTTTACATGCAAAGGATTTTAATGCCCAAGATAAGGATGTAATCTCCAAATTATTTACTTCTTTATCCTGTCATGTTTAGTAATTGGAAAGTATATTCCTCCTACATTCTCAGTTACTATTATTTTTTGTACTGGAGATTGAACTCAGGAACACTTAACCACTGGCCACATCCCCAGCCCTATTTTGTATTTTATTTAGAGGCAGGGTCTCACTGAGTTGCTCGGCGCCTGGCTGTTGCTGAGGCTGGCTTTGAATTCACCATCCTCCTGCCTTAGCCTCCTGAGCTGCTGGGATTACAGGCATGTATCGCCACACCCAGCTCTCATTATCAGTTACTTTTTTAAGAACAAAGATATGGGTATAAAATTCAGGCTTTAAGGTCTACAGAGCAGTGGGTACAAATTGGAACAATCTGAGGAGTTTCGAAAGCACTGATGCCTAGGTTTTGTCACCAGACATTCTGGACGTAGCCAGACCAATGGGGATTTTAAAAGCTCCCCAATGTGGAGCCAAAGTCAAGAATCACTGTTGTGGAATGCTATCAATCCTCTTGTCCAGTTTTCACATTTTACACATGAAGGGAATAAAGCCCAAAAAAGGACACATGACTTTTTTTAAAAAAAAAAATAGCTTTTGATATTTTGTTAATCTAGTGGCTGAACCAAAGCTGGGACCTAGGTAACCCAGTTCATGACTATTTTCCCTGGCCTCTGCCAGAATTCATCACTGTTGATTTACCAGCCATGACCAAAGCAACTGGACACCCAACTTCTCTGGCCACTGCTACTTGTTCTTACCCCTGAAGAAGATTTAGGCTTCTTAGCTCAGCCAAGCAAAAGCATTAATACAGAATTAAAATATCTTGCACCTAGAATGATCATTCTAGAAAGAATGAGACCAAGTAAGAGAAAGGACTCAACTCAAAACTTGGAGCACAATCAGGAGAAGTCTCAGATGACAATCACACCAAGCAATGGTGTCATTGGTCAGTGAAGACCTGACTATACCGATGCAGGAAGACCATCCACTCAATGAGCTTCCAAAAGAAGTCTCTGTAGGGACGACTCGATCAAAAGGCTGGGATAGTGAATGTTGTTAGATTTAAAGACTTGAGGTTGAGGTTAGTTCATGTATATTAACCATTTTGTTTCAAAACATTGACTCCTATTCATGATTGGCACCCTGGTCATGTTTAGAGAACTCTGCAAAGATTTCAAGAGATTTTCTAAAGGAGTCTTCTAGAATTAGGATACTCCGTTTTATGGTTTGGTCATAGAGTCAGCTATAAAATATCAAACATTTTTTAGAGACATTGTCTATTGAAAAGATGGGGAAACTAATAAGGGAACAAGAATTTCTATCCCATCTTCTCTCTAGCCTTTATAATAAAAGAAGAGATTGTAGGGCCTGGGAACATTTGCCAATTTTTTTTTCTTTGAACTTTGTTTCTATATTTAGGCTAATGAGAGTT